ATCATTGGAAACTTGCCTTGACTGAATTCAAGACCAGTCGATCCGCTTCAGCCTTAGTATGTACCACTGGAATACTGCACGTTGCTGTCGGTTCTCGAACATCACGACGGGCTCGTAGTGCTTCCAGCCACGATTGACACTCGGCTGCCAGATCCTAAATGGGGAGGCGAAGATTAGTGAAGAAAAATGTGAACAACATGACTATTTTGACCATATAGCATTATACCGCTACAATCGCAGGAAAGGTTGCATGAAGGAATCAGTTCTCGCATGAGTGCGATCGCTATCAACTACGATATAAAAGCCACTTGGACCCACCTGTACAAGGTAATACCTTGCCTCAGCAAGGATCTGCTCAACTTCTACACGGCAATCAGGAAGCGGTACAAAACCATCTCGAAGGAAGTCCAATATTACACCAAAATGTCTCCCACTTCTGTCTATGAGTACCCAGCCATCTGAGTCAGTGACCACCTGAAATTTACAAAATTCGAAGAAAGCCAAAAATTCAAACAGTGCGAAGATTTTTTTACCTGCATTCGGCCACTAAACATCGCTCGCAGCATAGTATCATGTTTTGTTAGTGTGGCAATAGTCGTCTGGAACAATGCCCCACCCACATTTATCCTGACATAACGATCAGCAGCTGTATCTGGCTGAAAAAAAGTAATCAGAAATGTGCACTTAGTGTATCTAGTTAATGAAAAAACAGCTTTAAAACTTTTCAAAGAAAAAAAAACAAAGATAAAAGAGATAGGCAGATGGAACTTCTCGCATCGCCATACTTTATTACCCGTTGATTCCTGTCACGCGTGCCCAAAACACATCAAATTTAGGCACAAAAAAGATGCTTTCCCTCCACTTCATGTTAAGTTTTTGTTTCACGCGATCTTTAACAATTATGAAACATGATATGCCACAAACGCACCACTTCATGACAATTAGACGCGTCCTGCTGCCATTCCACGGCTTCTCGAAATAATAACGGATCATTTTTGGTTGACATCCTAAACGAAAATTAAATTTTAAAAAAAGCTCCTTGAAAATACTCCATCGAAATTCTTAGACTGGTAATCAATGATTGCAACAATCAAGCATAATAAGAAATGAACGGATAAATTTGCTTCATCTGTAAACACAACTTTACAGCTACATCAACAAGTAACAGTAACAATAAGTCATCAGCAACAATAACAACTTTTGATAGAACAGAGAAAGTCGATCAGTCGAGACATATCGATCAGTACAATTATTTCAATCAGTTTCTGGTCCGGTGTACTTCGGCCTCTTCACAGATTTCTTCTTTTTCTTCTTTTTATCAATTTTTGCTAGAATTTTCTGTGCTTCTTCTGTTTCTGGCTCTTCTTTGACTTCAAAAATCTGAAACAAGCAGAATTTGGACATGATGCTTGGCAGTCAGGAGCCAATTATTAGCTTACCTCTCCCACAGGATCTTCCACCTTCTCAGCGATTACTTCCTTGATTTGTTGTGCTTTTACAAGAGTCGCCTAAAATTACTCAATATTAACAAATCTGCGAAATCGTTTCTAATTCATTTTCAACTACTTTTTTGTGTAGTTCCTTCTCGATATATTTTCCTTTGCTAGCTAACTTTATCGCTCTCCTCTTAGCATTGGGACTTTCATAATCTGGATTATCATAGAGTACCGCTCCATCAAAAGATCCAGAAAAGATCCGGATTGTCTCCAACACAAAACGAGGTCCTGCAACAATAGAACTTTTTTT